CACCGGACCGGAGTTCAAGAGGGAATTGGCCAAGCCAATGTGGCCGAGCCAGTAGGCCAGCAGGCTATGGGCGCTCTCGCCCGAGAGATAGCAGGGGCATTCAGGGAGTCAGTAGGCATTTCGTGCCTCACCTTAAGGTTCCAAGTGCTGCCAAGCTAAGGCTGCGTCGGGGTGTTTTAGAATCCCCTTTTTCTGTCTCTGTTTTGTATCGACTGTATAGACTGAATGATATTCGTATTGTACTGTTATGGTAGGGACTTGGTCCCTAACCCGAATGATTGTATGCGATGTTTGTATTTACTGTTTTGTCCTAAATGTGAAAATGTTGTAAAAAGTTTTTTTGCATACAGACTGTCACAGCTCATTAGACATCTTTTAATTACTATTTTGGCTTCCGCCAGCCCATGTACTCTGTATTACTGTTTTACTGTTAAGCAGGCCTTCAATAATCTCGGATTACTGGCCGCTTACGGTGCTAAACCCATAGGGGCGGGTTTGGGTCGTGACATTATCATTTGTTCTCTTTTCTCATGCTCTTTCATCTATTTTGTCATTTTTTTATTTTTTTTTTTATCTTTCATCAATGCTAGCTAGCATCACCCAATACCATAGCAACTTATGAAACATAATTTTTTCTTTTATTTTGTAAACATATTTGTGTATTAAATTTTTTTTTAAAAAAAATAAACATAACAACATTTCATATTTATAATAAAAAAAATTGACTTATAAAAATTATCAAATGCTACCTCATAAAATATATATTAAAAAATTATTATTTTTATCTATTCACAATCCTATATTATTTTCAAATTTTAATTTCATCTTTCAATCTTTCAATTTCCAATTGATGGATATTAAAAAAAAAGGGGGTCAATATTTCTCACCTTATTAACAAAAATTTTAAAAATAAATATAAAAGTAAAAAAAATCTAATCACGTTATAATAAATTAAAATTAGTTGACAAGGAATGAAAGATAAAGAAATTATTTGAGAATAATAAATTATTTAAATTTGTCATTTCTTACATCTAATTAAAATGAAATTTTACTTGAAGAAAGAAATTATTTGAAAATAATAAAATACTCAAAAAAATTGTTATTTATTACATGTAAAATCTATATCTCCATATTTGTTTCTCTCAATTAAATTATTTTTATTAAATTAAATCTTAAAATTAATTTAAACAAGAAACATGGATATTATTTTTTAATTTCATTAACAGTTGATTTTTTTTTTTTTAAACTCATAAAAGTTCAAAAACTTATAGCGGAAAAAAATAGAAAGACAAGAAAATACAAAAAAAAAATTGTGAGAAATAAAATGATAATTTAATTTAATTAGTTATGAATAGTATTTAAAGGGTATTATGGTCATTTTCATAACAAAGTTAACACCGTTTGGCCTAAATTAACGGGTGGGGAAATCTTGATAATGTTAGAAAAAGTAAATGAGGTTTTTGTAAGTATTGAAACTACAAGAGAGGTAACTATAATTTGCCCTTTTTTTTTTGCTACAACTTTAAAAAAATTAAATACATAGAACATCAATAATAAATAAATAAATTTTTATTTTTAGTTGAGACATTTAAATTTTATTTTATTTTACTAATTACAATAATCGGGAAGGCCAAAAATGTTATTTTACCCTCTAATCCGGAGGAATTATCTTACTCTTTTGTATCTCACACCCCCCATGGGAAACAATAATCCCACAAATAAGGGATTGATAGTCCGGCTTACATTTTTGGTGTCTCTATTTACACACCACATTTCATCTCAAGGCACACCACTACTCAAGACACACATTTAGTAATTTGATAAATAAGAAATTTACTCAATACACACCACAATCTTTCATCTTTATCCTTACTCACACACCCTATCTTTACCTTTACTCACTCACACACCTCACCCATAATCTTCAATCTTCCATACCTCCTGTAGTACACACCTCCACTTCAAAAACACACACGTTGTGAACATCCCCCTCCATTCTCTGTTTCATTGTCATCTCAGAGGTTTGGAAACAAGTCTAAACTAGTCGACATGAGACTAGCTCTTTAGTAATAAATTGACTTGTGTAGTCAACAAGACACTCAGATCCAACATTACTGCATTCTATAGATGTACAGTTCTAGAAAAACCAAAAAAAAAAATTGTTATAAGTGTTCAAAAATACAGAGTCGATCTAAATTCAAAAGTTCGACTGTTGAAAACTGAACAAATGTTATAAGTTCGGAACTTATTAACCAAACATGTGGACTATGTTCGACACTGGAAAATCGAACAATTAGAACGTGTTCGGTTTTAGAAAGTCGAACATGAGTACATTGTTCAAATCTGGATATCCAAACAAATACAAACGATTTACCACTCAGTAAGTACACAAAAACAAAAACAAAAAAATGAAAAACTAGCTTTTTCCTTGCTCCATTGTTCTAAACCAATATTGCCAGATGCATCCATTATTCAGTCCAATCAAAATCTTCAATAATACGTATATTTTTGGTTATTTCTTTAAGGGTTTTTGGTTTTTGTTTCAGGGTTTTTGAGTTCTTAAAAGAGAAGATATGTAAGTAACGTTTGAGAAGAGATGTGTGTATTGTATTCATTATTGTCCTTTATGATAATTTTACGTAAGGTGTGTATCATTGCCCTTTCTCCGTTGTAGTCATTTTACATTAGGTTAATATTGTAATAAAAAATAAAATAATTAATGGTATGCCTTGAGATGAAAGATGATGTGTAAATAAGAGCACCCTACATTTTTTGAATCAAATATCAAATTATTATGTAAAATAGACATGGAATCCTATCCTACCCTCCCATCTCCCCAAGCAAACAACCCTAGGGGGTATATAGTAGAATTTCCCCAATTAGGCTTATTTTGGAAAGTGATTTTTTTTTTTTACTTGAAAAAATGTGCAAAAAAATAAAAATAAAGAAATGATATGGCCCAAATAAATTAAGAAAGACTTACGTATAAGTTTTAATAAGTAGACATTTTGATAATTATTAAACACTGTTAAAAAATGTCACTAATTGTTAATTTTTAGCGACAGTTTAAAAATTGTTATAAAAATTATCACCAATTATAAGTTTTAGCAACAGTTTCAAAAAATCGTTACAAAAAATGTAACTAATTTTTATCTTTTAGATAGTTTGAAAAATTCGTCACAGAAAAAGTCACTAATTGTAAGTTTTAGCAATAATTTATAAAAATCATGACAAAAAAAATCACTAATTGTCAATTTTTAGGGATATATGCAAAAAAAAAATTATCAAAAAAATATTTTTAAAGATAATTTTACTATGAATTAATTTTAACAAGATTTTATGAGAATTAAATCTAACTATTAAAATTTTATTTATAATTTACCCTCGATTAATAAGTCAATAAACTGATTTTTTTTTTTTTTTACCAATTCTCAAAAAAGGCATTACTAATGGTTCTTCTCTCCCATATAAATTTATGATAAATTACAAACACACCTTTGAGGTTTCCTTTGGTTTGGGATCTTTAAAAAAAAGGATAAAAAGTTTAAAAATTATTAAAAAAAAGTTAAAAAGTAATCACTATTCACCAAAAAAATTATTTTTACACAAAAAAAGTACAAATCACTCTGACGCGAGTTGTCTTTACTTGACTTAGGTGAGAACAAATTACACAGGCAGAGACAAGCTTAAGGACGATGTTGTTCGGCCCGTGGGGGCCATCACGGGTCCTGTTTTAATAATCTAAACCGTTCAATGTGTAGAAATTGTCGAGTACTATATACTCATAAAAAATCATATTGATCGGATATCGCTAACTACATGATCAAATCAGTTTTGTATAAAACAAAAGGATGGTATTATAGTTAACGGTTGACAAAAAAACTAATCCGATCTGATAGCTATCGATATCCAATCAATGTGATTTTTTATAAACATATAATACTCGACGAGTTCTATACATTAAACGGTTTCAATTACCAAAATGAGACCCGTGGTGGCCCCCACGAGCCAAACATCACCCTCCAATTTAATGCCCGAAAAAGAGGCATGCATATCCTATATGCTAGTTCGCCCACTACTCTGCCCTAGTGTACTGCCTATTCTTCTTTCCTTTCTCCTATACACTAAATTATACAATTTTTTAATACAAATTTTTTCGTAAAAAATTATCCCAAATAACTATATTTTTTTCTCAACTTTTTAGTCTAAAAAGTCAAAAAATACACTTATTTAGGACATCTCAAATAATCCCTTACAAATTATCTTCTGTAGTTTTAAAAATTATATTATGCATCTTAAAGTTTCTAATTTCATACCAAATAGGTCATTTTATTAATAAATCATCAAGTTAATTAACAGTTTTTAATAATGTTAAAATTTTATTTCAATTAATAATTTAAATAATTTTATTATTATATAAATAAGCAGTTAAAAATTTTACTTTTTAAATTAATTTTATTAAATAAAAAATTTTAATAAAAAAGTAGTTATAATTTTTCAAATTATAAAAAATAATTCGTAAGTAAATCTCAAAAGTGCTTTTATAATTTACCCATAAATTTATTATTGTTGGTGGGACTCCAATTGAGTTCACTTGCCTCTCTTTTGTTTTTTTAGGTAGGTACACCTTTGAGTTGCATCAAGCTTGCTTTCTTTTCACAGCTGGTTTGTTTTGTCTGCTGCAGTCTGTATACACCTCCAACGTAAGAAAAAAAGTACAGCACAATGTTTTAGAAGATACCCAAAAATCCTATAATCTTCTTCCCTGATCTATCTTATATTTCTCCATCTCTCTCTCTCTCTCTCTCTCTGGTCCATTATTTGTTGAGCAATGCTAGGTATCATGAAAAAACTTTCATGAAAATGATCATGAAAAATTTATGACCCTTAGATTACACTTAAAATAAACACCACACACTAATCAGGTAATCCAAAGGTCATAAATTTTTCATGACCAATTTCATGAAAGTTTTTTCATGATCCCTATCTTTTCTCTTATTTGTTTGTTTACTTTCAACAGCAAGAAAAAAAAGAAAAAAAGAAAAAAAGAAAGAAAAAAGAGGCTTATTTATGCTCGCTCGCCACACCACTTTCTCATTCACGCCAAAAATCTCTCCAGTGTTTGTTTCCCTCACGACTTTCCAATACACACTCTCTCTCTCACTTGTTGTCTTTCTCTGCTCTGCTCATTTGTAGTCTCGTTTAATCTCCCCTATGTCTTTGTGTCTTATGTGACTCAGGTCATGTAATTGCAGACTCCATAACACACGTCTTTGTCAATTGTTGAATCGTTTGTTTCACGCAAGGCTCTTTTCTAAATAATGTAATATCCATGGAGAGTTTGTCTCTGTTTATTTTATGCTCATTTGCTCTCAATTTGATCTGCAATAGTCCCACTCACTCTATATATAATTGTCATCCTGGGCACACAATTGTGCATTTTTCTTGTAGATTTGATGGTCTTGCTTGTCTTCTAGTGATGCCCATTTATTTGAACCTGTTCTAAAGAAAATTAAATCCTATTTGAGATAATGGGTCTTCGCTAATTTTCTTTCTGAACCTTCAGTTCTTGATTTCCTGGAATTCTTGTGGCATATAAATTCAAAACCATGTAACTGATCTTTTGGATTCTGCTGCATTTTGCTTGTGTTGATGTGTTTTTGGTGAGAATTAGCATGAGCAAAAGGCCTTTTCTATGTGTAAGAAAAGAGATGAGGTAGGTGATGGATCTGTGTTTTGTTGAATTCAATCTGTAGTTGAGATCGGAGCATATGGAGAGTGTCTGTCTATTCCGTTGATATTTGCTGTCTTGATTT